ATAGCAAAACAATCTATATGTTTTGATAGAAATCACTCGAGAATTCATTAAGTATAAAAAAACAAATATTGAATACAAATTTACATACTTGAACGAATATGGATTAAATAAAAAAGTAAAGGAAAACTGGTCAATAATTAAATACAAGAATTTAAAAATCGCTTTTGATAATGAATTTGATCAAATATCCGAGAAAAAAAAATTAATTTATGTAAACGTATTCAAGTGATAAAATAAATAAATTCTTCCCTAAACGAGTTGAGCTCCTATCGCGCTTCCCACTACACACCTTTATTTTATTTATTTTTGAATTGTTGATCTAAGCTAATATGTCAAATTGATGAATACATTAATATTAATCAGTTTCATTAGCGATACATTTTTTTTAAAAATCTTCCACTTTAAAAAAAAAAAAAAATTCACACAAATAGGAATATTCCAAATTTAAGCAACAGTAAGAATAAATATAGGACATTTTTCTTTAGCAGCCTGAAAAAAAATATTAGTGTAATAAAGTTATTAACTCCAATGAATTCAAAATTACTGATTTATATGAAGAAGAAAAAGAAGATAAGTAAATTTTGTTCTGCGATATTTAAACCCCTAAGAATAATTTTACAGAACAAAAAGGTGACATTTGTCTGGCATTATAAGAAAAAGAATAAAGTAATTGATTAACATAATATGCTAATCTTAAAATAAAAATAAACAAAGCATAAGTATATATAAATATTCATTTGTACATAAATATATATGAGTGTGTTCACATATTTGTACCTATCGACAATATTGATAATATTTAGGTAGCAGTAAGATAACAGTCAAATGAAGGTAACAGCTCTTAAATACGGAAATTGTATTCTTACATGTATTCGTAAGAATGATTGCTAAGGAGGCGCCAGAATAAATGTTATTTAAATGAGGTTAAGGAAGAGGATTTGCGTACGGAGGTAGGTTAGGGATACCAAAAAAAGGTAGCACGCATGACAAAGGATTTTTTAAAGAAAACGGTTCTATGAGAGGTAAGAAACAGGTTTACGGACTGTAATCTCGTGTTAAACAAATGAACAGACGAACATGATAAGATGGCTTTTTGGTTGTAAAGGTTCGGAAAAGGAATACGCCTAGGAAATGTTACCGCCGAAAAATTGGATGGAGCCATTTCAACACTATTACATGAACATTAATATTTGAGTCGCTTATTTAAGTACACTCTAATCGATTTAGTTACTTATCGAGATAAGATTCGATTTATATGTAAAAGCACCTAATGAATCCGATGGAACAATTATTATTTTCCAAAACGAACCTAAATACTTAAAAACGTGGTATGAAACAATACCCAGCAGCACTTTTTCCCTGACTTGATTCGATTACTTCCTTTGTTTGAGGATGCGATATCCATCGCCCCATCAATCTCCATTTCATCTCTTCCGGCATATTTTTGATCTCCTCCTTATACACAGATATATCCTAACTTTAGTCGTATCGCTTATTAAACTGATGGTATGTCCGTTTAAATTCGTATAAAATCGTTGGAAAAGGATCATTATATGTCGGTCAACTGTGGGCAACGTCTATCACGTACCAAGGTGATTTTGTAAAGTCTGAATCTAAATAATTTTGATTAGAAGGTTTGAAGTTTTTGTATGTAAGTCTATTTCGCATATCTGTGATGAGTATGTTCATATAGGTTGAAGTAAGTACAAATATATTTACAGTTTCTGTATAATTTCATCAGTACAGTCATTCTTTACCAGTGATGGACATACCAGCTGAAAAATTGTTTGTCTTTATTGACTTAAGGGCCGTAATTATTATAGTTATAAACTTCTCCGTTGGACATTTAGAATCTCTAGGGTCTCCTTTTTCTATTTAACAGTTATTTAGATATAATCTCCTTTAAAAAAAAACACCTTTTTTTGCACTAGTGATGGACACCCCGTAATTCAATTGTACTAGTAATGGACAGGGGGTCGGTACCAGTAGTGGAAATACCTCAGAAAACTTCTAAATTTTTATTTAACTATAAAGATAACGATTAAGATAAGATTATATAAATGTTCAACTTACTCTTAGCAAAACTGTTAGGTGGAAGGTATGATACACTGATCTAAAGAGCACTATAGAAACAACAATGACAGGCATTTTAAAATGATCTTTTGGGAACTGTGTTCATACAGTTGTCAATAGATTGCATTGTTCTTCAATCTAGAAAAAACTGGAACCTTTAAAGCAACAAGGAAGCTTATTATTTACATTTAAAGTCCAACTTGTTTATCACTGGCTTCCTGTCCAAAACTGGTGCGTTCACCCTAATTAGTACAAATAAATAAGAAATATTCCATCAGTAACAGGATTAAGAATATCTCAGTTTTTTTTTTAAATTAAAGAATAAAACCAGTGGAACGAAATAGGTAACGCTACAATGTAATATTTAGCAACAGAAAGAATATATAGAACAACATAAGAAATCAAAAGTATAAAAATAAATATTAACAATTATATATAGTAGATTAACAATTAACAATCGTTGTGTGGTTGACACGAACTGAGCGAATGATACGGTACGATATGGATTTGTGTGGAGAATACTTTTTAAAAGCTAATTTTCTTCTCACGGTGAAAATAGTATTTTTTTTTCAGCTAAACTTGTGTTAGTTTACAGATTCTATCAAGGTTTTAAGAAAATTTAATTTTTTTTTTTAAATAGCCTATTTCAAACACTAAGTTTCATGTTGATATATAGACATAATGCATAATTAATACATCATTTTAATCAAAATAAATTTATATTAACCATAGAAAGACTATAACAGTTCAATTTACTCTTAGCAAAACTCTAGTAAGGTATGAAACACACTGATCTCAAGAGCACTATAGAAACAACAATGATAGGCATTTTAAAACGTTCTTTTGGAAACTTTGTTCATAAAGTTGTCAACAGAAGGTATTATTGTACTTCAATCTTGAAAATACTGAAACCTTAAAATCAACAAGAATACTTATTATTTACGTTTAAAGTCTAACACCGGGTCCTCTGCCCATAACTGGTGCGTTCACCCTAGTTTGTTCGGGATATTCCGTTGTTTTTTTTACATTTAAACAGTTAAACTCAGTCTTGGTCTAGGCCTTGGTCTTGCTCAAGACTCTCGTAACAGTCTTGCAGTTGCCTCTTAGCTTATTACTAGAGAGATATTACTGTAATTTTTTAGATATGAGAAACTTAACTAAGTCTGAATGAAAGATTAGAAGAGTTTAATGCAAAAGTATATTGGTTACACCAATTTTTTAGATTTAGTAACTAAAATTTTCAAGTATTAATAACTATTTTGCCTCAATTTTTATTCAAAAAATCGATTTTTTTTACCAGTCTTAGTCTTGGTCTTGCAATAGATAGGCGGTGATGGTCCGGGTCTTGCTAAGTGCAAGACCAAGACCGATTTTGGGCAACACTAGTCGCCATATCATCTTTCTGTCGATGGTAAGTCCAAGATAAAGTACCGTGTACGTCTGAGTAAAAAAATATTATATGTTTGAATTTATCATGAATCAGTCGAATTAACAACAGTTTGAACCATTCCAGTAATTTAAGTAATTGTACATTTTCATCAATCTGACTGCCAAATCTGTTCTAAATAAAAAATTGTTAAAGTAATTTCGAAAAGTATTAAGCATCTTGCAGAGCTTAGAACTTGATAGAACTTGAGACAAAGCAACCTGGCGGCTACTTCATTACCTTCGAAGGTAGGGGTGGATGTCCTTGCAAGACAATGCGCACGCTCTGCAACGCCGATAGGGCAATTACTATAAATCTACATAGCAACAGTGTACCGCCAATATCTAAGAATACTTAATTATACTATTTAATAATCAGAAATAAAATTTAAAAAAATATTTTTTGTTAAATAAATTCCAAAAAAGTTATAAAAAAAATTACTATCTTTACCAATGTTAATAATTTTAGAGAGATTCTCTTCCTTTTAAGTTGTTAAACCGTTTCAGTCGTAACCTTATTGTCTAATATCCCCTCTAGCTTGAGGATATTTAGATAGCACTATCAATTGCATGGTTTAACTGCGTTTATATAGCGATAATTTCTATTATGGTAGAATTTTTGTAACAGGTTTTTCAAAAATCTGAACTATGTATTTAAATGCTTTTTTGAGTAACATTCACTCCAGAAAAATAAAAAAATTTATAAAAGTAGGCAAAGCGCACCAGTGATAGACATAGCTAAGGAAATTTTTGTCTTTTTTGTTTTATGCCGCCGTCATTATTATAGTAATAAACTTCTCCGTTGGACATTTAGCGTCTCCATTTACTATTCATCACTTTAAAATTGAAAAATAATTATAAAAATATAAAAAATATAAAATTATAAAAATATAATCTCCATTAAACACTTTTTTGCACTAGTGATGGACATCTCGAAATTCAATTATTCTGGTTATGGACAGGTGGTCGGTACCAGTAATAGACATACCTCAGAAAAAAACTGAAATCTTTATTTAACTATAAAGATAAGATTACATAAAACGTTTAACTTAATCTTAGTACGAAGGAATGAAACACTGATCTCAAAACCATTATAGAAACAATAATGATAGGCATTTTAAAATTTTCTTTTGGAAACTTTATTCATAGAGTTGTTAATAGATGGCATTGTTACTCAATCTAGAAAAAACTAGAACCTTTAAACCAACAAGGAAGCTTATTATTTACATTTGAAGTCCAACCTGTCCATCACTATATGACTCTATGCTACTAAAAATAAAATTAAAATTTGCGATAACGTTATGATAATCAACAGATTTTAAAATTTTGTCATTATAACCCACTAAACCAAACAATTTTTTTTTTTTGGAATATCCTTAGGCCACCGAACATCGCTGAAACAACTTGGCATGGATGAGGAGTCGAAAGGCAAGTGAAGACTCACTTTCCAAGCCCGAGGGAATTCTGCTCTCTTTCGTACCCTGGCGGCTACGTACTTCGTTCTAAACTTCAACTTTCTCTCCTCTGTTACTCTTTCTTCTGACATCCTTTCTACCGGAGGAAATCGTCCAAGGTTAGTAGGCACCATCAATGCATACATTATGACGGGGGCCTGTTTGGTATGCAAAGTAATTGAGTGAGACGACAACTTTGAAACAGAAAAAAACTTATGGTTCAAAATCCACAATTTAAACACGTTTTAATTCAAATAATCTCTTTTGATAACTTTGTTAATTTTATTCGCTCTCGATCAATCTTCTACTAGTAGTTCAGGGATCTTCTTGAGTCCTGTTTTTCTCTCCATAGTTTGTTCTCCAGGAGAGACAAACCTGCCTCAGAGTTCCCTCGCCTGATTGTAAATAGTATATATAGGTATGTATGTATTTTCTGTTTTGTTTTTTTAAATTTATTTATCTTTAAGTTATTTTATTTTATTTATAGTATGTTCTTTTTTTTTTTTTTTTGTAGTAATAGTGTGAATGTGATCATACTTCATTATAATTATTGTCCATATGACAGAATATTATATTACTCAACAAATAAATTTTAAAAACTTAATATCTAAAAAATAAAAATTATTAAACCTGTTAATATTAGTCCAGATTGATTCAGATTTCAAAGCAAATGAGGCAAAATCACTAATTAAATTGCACTTAATTTTATACTATAAGATCCCAAAATACCAACTTTAAAAAAAAATAAATAAATAAATAAAAATCACCGGTTACATAAATTTCACTGAATCTTTATTCTCTATTAATAATAAATATTGCTTTATTAAATCAGGAACTGTACATTATTAATATTTAACGTATAATTAAATGATAAAATTCCCCGTTCTGAATTTTCTCAGAGAAAAATAGTTGTAGGTTGTAAGATGCAGCAGTCATTCACCAAGATTGAGACGAATGTTAATAATTCGATAAAAAGAATACCACGGTGTATTAACAATATTTGGATATATAATACACAGCCTATGGACGATTCTTTTAAACAGATTAATTATTTTTAAAATAATTTATAATAAAATTAATTTTCAAGTTCATTTCTTTCTAAATTATTTAATAAAAAGCATTGGCAATTTTGACGAGTCGGATATATTTTAGGTTTATAGCAGATCGATAACATCGAATAAGTGTTCAATTAACTTACATGGGAATAAACACTATAGAAGAGACACTCAGAAAACAAATTTTATGAATGAATGAGTTCCAGATATATGCTGTGAAAATTTTTATTTTTTAATTTTAAACTCCAATATAGCTGAAAAAATAAATTTCCTGTAGCAACGGATAGGAAATTTACCACCAATATAACCGATCCGTGATAACAAATATTGTGTATTTTTTTTTTCTTTCATACAAGAGAGGACGCTTTTCGAAATAACGAAGATTGGAAAAAAAAAAAAAAAAAAATCTGACCCAACGTTTTGAGGATATGAAATTTAAAACCTAATATTGTTTGCCGAATTAGCTCGGGTTAAATAACAGAGAATAAAAACTGATAGCAACTATTTTAATCAGCTTTAGCCACCGGATCCATTGCTCTATCGATTAGTAGATTACTGTCCTATCCACTATAGCTAGGCTCTTGTGTGATTTGAGTGAAAATTAATGCAGATAAAGCTTAAATTTTATTTTGCATTTCTTATTTATCCACTTAATGTTGTTAACTGTTTCAAGGTAAGAAATGGGTTTAAGACTAATTTGTCAAATCATGAATTGAATAGAAAAATGTCCTGCTTTTCCTTCTATAGTTGGAGGGAGAAGCCAGGATTGGGGTTCTCTGCCTGATTGTATATAGGTATGACGGTGTTTTTATGTTTTTAATTTACTTATATTTAAGCTATTTTATTTTGTTTGGTACATAGTCTTTGATTATTATTTAGTTATTATTTTAATAAAGAGAAGGATGGTTGGGGTGATCAGTCAGAAATAAAAAAGCAAAAATTTATAATAATATTTACTTTAACATTTGCCGACGTTTTGACCTGAAGTTAATAGAGTCTCTATTCCAACAATCTCTTGGAACAACCCTGATGAAGGCTTTAACTACAGGTTGAAACGTCGGCAAATGTTAAAATAAATATTATTATTTATTTTTGCCTTTTTATTTCTGACTGATCATCCCAACCATCTTTCTGTTCATTATTCACGACAGTCAACCATCAACACACAACACACACTTGGTTTTATTTATTATTTTACTTTTGCTAATTTATTTAGTAAGTTTAAAATGAGACTGAAGATACGAATACGATTCTTTTATTATAATTATCTTAAGGGTTAACAGATAAACTTACATTTCGTATTCCTTTGCCGGTTTAAAATGGCTGTATTTTAATTTCGTTTAAGTGTCTTTCTTTTCCAATCCGCCAAAACTTAAAAGCCACTACATGGTATATTCTTAATTCACAAAAAAACAAATATTGCTTGAAAACAAGATCTCAACTTGTACATCTCCTTACCATATACCTGCTTCCACCGGCAAATCCTATTTGCTTTTATAACTGTGTAGAATTACTCGTATATGCTTCCTAACCAACAACCGTGACCTCATTCTGGCTATGTTCCTGTAGGATATTTACCTGGAGATTGGACACTTGCAAATATTTCTCGTCCTAATTAGAGAACAATGATAGTGGGCTATCAGTTATTTTTTTATTTCCGGCTTGTTCTCGGGACTGGAAATTCATTTACTTGTTTTCTCTCGAGTTAAGAACCTTACTCTTGTGAATCGCTATAAAATTTAATAAACCGTAACTTTCACGGTGCCTTAGCTTTCAAGAAAACAATATCCGATAATAGACTGTCGGTCCAAGAGGCCTCGGAAGGCTGATGAATTAAGAACACTTTCCGTTGTCCTCACGAAGAATGGTGCACCAGGGTCTCTTTTGTGCATCTTGTGAACAGCTTTCACCCGAACCATAAAACCCCTAGCATTTTGTGAGGATCCTATTGCTCGCCAGGTACAATATAATATCCCTTAGGTGCCGAACACACCAATAGGTAACGACTTGATGAAATATACCCCTTTATAAAGGTTATTGTCGTTCGTTTTCACCTAAATCTTTTTATTTTTTTATTAACCATTGATAATATTGAATCTCATAATAATTACAATGATGGTATAATAAGGTATACTATAGATTCTTTGTAACAGTTTTGTTGCATTTTTTCTCTCTTTCTTATTGATATGAAGCAGAAATACCTTTACAAATATTTTAAGTAGTGTTGCCCAAAATCGGTCATGGTCTTGCACTTTAGAAGACCAAGACCAAGTCCGCCTAACTGTTGCAAGACCAAGACGAGGACTGATAAAAAAAATCGATTTTTTAAATAAAAATTAAGACAAAATAGTTACTAATACTTGACAATCTTAGTTACTATATATTAATAATTGGTATAACCAATATACGTTTGCATTTAAATCCTCTAATTTTTCATTCGGGCTTAGTTAGGTGTCTCCTATCTAAAAAATTACAGTAATATCTCTACAGTAATAAGCTAATAAGTAACTGCAAGACTCTTGGGCAAGACCAAGACCAAGACCATGACCAAGACTGAGTTTGCAAAACCAAGACCATGACCAAGACTGAGTTTGCAAAACCAAGACCATGACCAAGACTGAGTTTGCAAGACCAAGACTCGTCTCGGTCTCGCATTTGGGCAACACTAATTTTAAGTAACGTTATACCATAACAATTATCTAAGGTTGTAACAAAAAAAAATTCATTAACACCAAACGATAATAGCTTGGAGTTTCCGCTAATTTCTTTTCCTTCCCGTCTTAGCAGGAATTCATCAGGGGTTAGTATTCGCTCCACTATTATACATCCTATACACGCAAGATATACCCAACAGTACCCTAAATATTATAGAAACATAAGCAAACGAAACAAAAACCCTACACACAACTCACAAACCTTACAAAATCATCTAATAAAATTGAAATAATTTGCAAACTTGGAAAACTCGACTACCCCAAGACGAACCCCAACACATTACTTTCAATTTCGACATGAAACTTGCACTCCTGTTTACCTCCACGATGGTCAAATTTCTCTAACAGTTAAAGTTCAATACATTTGACAGACAATTGACAGAAGAATGACATATCATAAATAAAAAAAAAATTTAAAAAAGTTAAAGATCAGACTTAGTCAATTATACTTTCAAAATTAAATTTTCCTACTTAAGTACATTTCGACATATGCTTCACAGGTTTACGGGATTAACAAAACAACATACGAAATCAAAAAATTTTTCATTCAAAAACTTTTATAACTAAAGCTCTATGGTGTGTTACAAACATTACTTTACATAAATACATTCAAATGTCAATAGTTAACGACCACACACAGACAAACTACAAAAGATCTCACTATAATTTACACAACTATACTAATTCAAGTAAAATCATATAAGCGATGGATTAGACTCATAATTGACGCGTCCGGTATAATATGGCATCCTAATACCCATCGGAGGCTCTAAAAAAAAAGCTGAATAAAGAATCATAGATAAAATACACCATAAACACTGGTTTCAAGATAGGAAGGGGTGCCACTGGGTACTCCTCACTCTGACGCATATTAGGGCTAGTTGCTCCAACTCAGTAAAGCTTAGATTAAGCGTTAACTAAGATTAAACCAAGTTTAATCTTGATCAGTCGACCTTAAAAGACTAAGTTTAATCTTAGATAACGCTTGATCTAAGCTTTACTGAGTTGGAGCAACTGGCCCTTATTGTCTTACATTATTCTTCTTCCCGACAGCATATTCATATTCACTGATTGTATTTCTGACAGGTGTGGGTCCATACTCCACCATAACATACATGAGATTAAGCTTTTAAGTTCATAATCATAAAATTTCTTTATAGGCCAGGTTTAAATATTTAAAATTAAAAATATTAAAACGGTAAAGAATGTTTAGATTTTAAAATGTAGTCACGTTTAAGGAAGAGGTGAGTAACAGAAAAATGGCATCAGCAAACTTGGGTAGGTTGAAGGTCTTTCGCTATTGGAGGTTGCTTACTGATAAACAAACACATTTTTTCAATCAACACTCTA